GAGGGCATTAGAAATGTTGGTGCCGCTGCGGTGGCAGCGCCAACCGAGGAACTCAAAACATCCGCGCTGCTTGTTGCATTAAATGTAGCCATTGGTTATTGTTGTTGATAAAATTTGGACGTGTTTTGTTAAATTGGTAGAGACACTCTAGATTTTAGCTACTGGGCTTAAGCCTGGGCTAAAGCTAATGTTGTTGCCAACTCTAGCGTAGGCGGCAAGGAACATTGCCGACGACTTGATGCGTCGCATATGCTTCACATACATGCACACATACAAATGTATGTATGCACGAATATATATTTTTCTATAGCTACGTATATATTTATATACGTCTAAACATCCATTATCTGCGGCATACACGCACGCACGCACGCACACACACAAACACRCTCACGAACAAACAGTCTACATTTTTACGTGTTTATATTTCTCACTCTTTGGTGCAACACTCAGCGGTCATTTGTTTGCATATTGTCAACTTTTATGCTATTTATTATAAATAAATGACATAATACACGCGCCCCATACGTATGCAAGTAGCACTATATACATACATATGCATATATAAATATATACATATAATATATATGTATATATGTACAAACTGGACCTGTGCTAGGTTCCCAGCGGCGGCGGAGGTGGCGAAGGTGTGGAGGTGGAAGAGCGACCGATCCCTACTAACGCAATCGTTTTTAGCGTTATGCTATATCCGCTTTAGAATTTCACACTGCAAGCCGCCTACAAAATGGCACGCATTAAACCGCGCGTTTTTTTCGCGAATTAGTAATCCCTGGAAAAAAGTCCACGGGAGACACAAAAAAAGCAACTTTTCAAGTTTTCACTATGTTTGGCAAGTGACAATCGTTTGCGATAGTTGCTATCATCGATATTGCCCACTCCGTGACGATAGGATATTGTTCGATATTTTATAGTTTCTACGATATTTTGATAGCCACAATCGATGCTAGTGCAAATAATAAAAATCGATAACGTGGATAACTATTGGCGCGCGTTCAGCTGTCATTTTTAAAAGTTAAATAAAATAATATTTTTATTGTTTATTTTTATTATTTAATAGTTACATAATCCTTATTGTTATGTCACGTATGATAATCATAGCTGCTTTCAGTTATAATTTGTAATATAAATAATATGAATTTTTAACTTAAACTAATTTTAATAAGTCAGTAATAAGCTACTTTGCAAACATAAATCATAACAGTTGATTCTGGCCAGCCACTCACGGCCAGAAGTCCATTTATAGGTAAATGCGTCTTAAATCTTTTGGCGTAGTTATGGAATTGCATTGCGGACACAGCTTACGAGCACCCAGCGTCTGCAGCCAGCACTGCTCACAGTGGACATGCCAGCAGGACACTGAGATGGCGGGATTCTTGTAGTCGTCAATGCAGATTAAGCATTTGAGTTTGCTCTGTGCCTGCTTCTCGTACATACGCAAGCGCGCCTTTAAGGATTCGATAATCTGCGACGATGTGTTGTTACTGTTGCTGCTACGTGATGTGGATGCCGCTGCAGACACAGGCTGTTGTCCAGATGTGGATGGAGCCTGGCTAACCGCCTCATCATTCATCTCATCAGTCGCTTCGTGGGTATTGTTGCTCTTGGGCGTTTCATTGGATGATATTAGACGGCGCACATAACTAGTAACATCCGCCTCAGAGACACCGCCTTCCTCTGCATCGTCATTGTCCAGTGGTATGACGTCTGCTTCGCCGTATTGCGTCGGTCCATATATATGTGTGTCATCCTCATCCACATTCACATCGTCTTCATCATCGTTATTCGTCTGCTGGCTACCATTATATTTGATGGTCTGTCCAAGATTCAGCGCTGCATAGCCGCCCTGGACGAGCGTCGATACGCGAATTCGCTTCTGTCCCGCCCACTCGTATTCCTCATACTCCTCGCTGTCATCGTCATCATCGCTGGAATGCCGATCCCCGTTCCTTCCGCCAGCACGCAGACACTGATTCACATGCTCCTGTATATCAGTCTGTGGGAAACTTTTGTTGCAGACGGGACAGATGCAGGTGACTTCGGTGGCTTGACTTGACCCAGCAGCATCCGCACCTGCAGCAGCTGTTGCTGGTGGTTGCACTGGTGGGGGTGGCGGTGGAGTAGGTCGCTTGCGTGTTCTTTGTCGCTGTCGGGCCTGCCGGTTGCGTTGCACACGCTGGAATACACTCCATGGTTTTCTCTGGCCGCCACCCTCAGCAGTAGCACCAGAAGATTGTGTTTGCGATGTTGAGTTATTAGTGGTGGCAGCCAACGCGGCCACAGTCTGTGCGGAGCGCAGCTGCATGCTGTGTAATCGATCCATTTCAATTTGGCAATGATCGGCTACTTGACTGCGTTTAATTTTTGCATCGCAAGTGGGACATATGACATCCTCTTCCCCATTGGCGAGATTAAAGTTTTCGGTGTTGGGCACAGTGTCAGTTGCCATGGCAAAAGACCTTTCTCTCTATATTTTGCAAGCAAAATAACGATTGGCCACCGGGGCGTGCGACACTTAGCCAATGTACGTGCAGTTTATAGTTTATATTTTACTTGGATTTCGTTTAAAAACTCAGATTTAAACTTAGTTTTCCAACCGAAGCAACTAAATAAAGTAGAACAACAAACGCGACGCCGATCTAGGGATGTAAGTATATTTTCGCCTATCGATCAAGTATCGAAGTGGTCGCAACTATCGCAAAGCATAGCTTAAGCAGCCTTGCCACCTAGGTAAAACCAATGAGCACCTAAAAAATAAATAACGCGTTTTACAAACATTTTAGTGATTGTCAATCCCTCTGCAAATAATTATTTTTATTATTTTGTTTGTGTTTAATGTAAAAAGGAAAATTCAAAATTTAATTAAAAATGTAAAATGCAATAGCTAAACGCTATACAGAAAATAAAATCGTAAGTTAGAGTTGCTACCACATCGATATACGCCATATTTTCGCAGCAGACAGCAGAGCACAGAAAGTGAAAAGCAAAAGCTGGGAAACAGAATAGAGAAAATAGCAGTGCGTTATTATTTTCCCACAACTGTGTCACATACAAGGCTCTCCAAAAACGAATTGTATTTTTGTGTGTGGGTGCGTTTATGTGTGTATAGATCTTGTGTTATTTATTATTCAACAAAAACAAGATGTCGGAATTGTTAAAAACGCAACAGCAGCACGCGCAACAACAACAACAGCATCAGGGCAACATTGGCATCTATGGCAATAAAATGAATGTAATTCCAAATTACACGTTGAGCGGAATGAGCTCCTTTGATGCCGAATCACTTCCTGATTACTCAGAGTTTGATTCCGAATCGGTTACTTTGGACTATTACAAGGAAAGGTATTTAGCAAACGACAACAACAACGACAGCGACAACAACAAGCAATATTTTTGTCCGCATTTTTGTTTTGATTCCGTTTCACCCTTCGTACACTCGACGCAGTAGTTGTTGTTATTGTTGATTTTCTGTGCCCCAATTTTGTTTTCATTCGTGTTTTGTTTGTTTTGTCTTCTTTATTTGATATCATTTTGCTACTCATATCATACTGTTGATCCTGTTGCCATGCCCAATGCTCTCACATATGCTTGTGTGTATATGCAAATATTTTGTGTTTCTCTCTTATTGTTAAGGCTAAAAATAGAGTAGACATCGTCTCTGTCTGGCCCCCGTCTGTGTAATAAAATCATAAAATTGGCAAGTATTTTTCTTTGTCTAGTATTAAACAAGCAGCCCGCTCATACCTATCGCTTACACCACGCTCTCTATAGAATTTGTTAGATGAGAATATACAGTGAATAATGCCTTCCTTGAACAGTCGTTGATTAAAAACTTGGTTCCTTCTATAGATTTAACTGAGTAGTTGCGAAAGACATATAGTATATCATTCATCTACTAAAAATTTTCTAAAAACATTTATAGCAAGAATTTTCATTTGCTCAAGCTTTTACTGTAGTCATATAGTATGTGGGCTTTCGTGTTACCTTATGCATTATTAATGCAATACGCATCGAGATGTTTGCAGTTTTACGATTGATACAGGTGCTTCCTGGAGTCGCCTTGCCATCTGAGGCGCTACATTGTTTTTGTTGATGTCATTGCATGTGCAATCCTATATAATAGCTTTGTCACATCTCGCATATCTTTAAATAACCACGTACGGAACTTGACTAGGAGATACCCTGACTAAAAGAATACCGCTGAGCTAAAGTAAACTTACAAATACTTTTAGTTTCGTCGGCAATGACCGACTAGAAGCTACCCTGAAGCCTATGTCTATGTAAAGAATACATATTGTGGTATAGCTTCTTAATGTGAGATGTACTCAAATATCCTCATTTTAAAACAAATTTACATAAATGACTTGATCTCTGATTCGAAAGGAACCACATTGAATTTGTGTTTCATAGGCTCCATGTTGGAGATGGTCAGGTGAACCAGCAAACGAAAAGGCCTATATAAACACGTTGATTGATCCTGTTAGAATATAAATACATATACATAATACAAACTTGTTGGCCCTTGCGAAAACAACATATACCAATAATCTTGAATAACCGTTATCCACTCATTAGATAATTAATGCAATATTTCCTATAAACCGAAATCTTGCTGACGAGTGTCGTTTGATGAAATGAACAAAACAAACTTATTGAAGCGTTACAAAAAGCAATGTTTGGTTGCTCGTGGCCTATTCCAAGTGGATTTTTGTGCTTTGGTCAATTTGTGGTAGGCCCCTCCCACCCAGACGGGGGCTGGGCTCCGGCCTACTCAAATGCTTTTGTATGTGTTTGCATGCTGCTGCTCTATATTGTATTGTTTTCTCAGCTGACTTGTATGCGCTTGAATGTATGGTTTAGCTTTTTGTATTGTTCTTATTTAGTTTTAAGTTGAACTATAAATTATCAGCTACAATTGCACTAATCGAAACTGTTACCAATTCTATTTTTCCTCCATGCAAAACGTTTTAATAAACAAACAGATGTTAAAAAGGAAAGCATTTTAGAATGAAAAGCATTTGAACAGTTCATAACAAACGCTGTGCGCTAAAAATTAATGAAAATACAAAAAACAATAAACATCAATTGAGACATTTAATTGTTATATATATACCAAGCCAGAGTTTACCATTATTCCCCTCTATAAACTAACCAAAAATATCAATAAATCGCTCCAATTCAGTATTTTACGTGGGCAAACGTTTTGCCTGATTAGTTTTTAAGGTAAGTGAAGCTCTTCTTATCAATTTCTAATTGTTTTTTAATACATATTTTTAACACTAAATGTATGTTCGTTTGTATTATTTATATAGTGTACTACGTCCTGAGGCGGACAAAATGGCGCCGACTACGACAATTGAAACCATAACAATCACAAGACCCCTCAAGGTGTGTACAAGAAAATGATAATTCTAATTTTAAAGCGTTTTTTTTTTTTTTTTAACAATCCAAATTGAACTTTTTAGGTGATTGCATTTATTTGCGGAGTCATCGTTGTGGTATTGATGATTATGGCCCTGGCATCCACAGATTGGCTAATGGCAGCCGGTTGGCGGCAGGGTCTCTTTGTGCATTGCATCGAGGATGATTCAGCTTCACCGCTGCCATTTAATATACAGGATCCACCAGGCTGCTATTGGACCCGTGATATTGGTAATGATATAAAATCAAGATCAAAAACATTCTTCTTGCTAAACACCAACCTTTGTATTTTTATAGGCTACATCAAGGCAACTGCAGCGCTATGCATTATCACATTGATAACGGACGTCATAGCCACAGTGTTGACTGGACTGGGCCTAAAGACACAGAATCATAATATTAAATACAAATTTTATCGAATAGCAGTGCTAGTAATGCTCGTCTCACGTACGTGTCATCTGTAGCTTACATAATTCTTAATGCTCACATTTTTTCCGATTGTCTTTCAATACAGTATTGGCCGTGCTCTCTGCTCTGATTGTCTATCCAGTGTGCTTTGCAGGCGAACTCACAATGGGTAAGCATTTGAATATAAACTTTAAATTTACCAACTTATAATTGGTTTGTTTATGTAGCGAATCGACGCGTTTGGGAGTTTGGCTGGGCCTATGGCGTGGGCTGGGGCGCTGCAATATTCTTGTTTGGAGCAGTTGTTCTGCTGCTCTGTGACAAAGAATCAGAGGAGATCTATTATAAGGAGAGAAAAATTGTACATGAAAACCAAATGCGCGCCTAGGCAAGGCCGCACGACCTGCCTGACGTCGTTCTTTAGACATATAAGCATCTAGAAACACATTCACTCACACATATACACACACTCACAGACGTATATAAATTTCAAATTTGACTCACGACTCAAAAACAAACGAACACACTCAATCAAAATAGTGATTTTTCGTCATAATGTTTAGTTAGACTTCTGATTACGTCCATCACAAACAAATTTTAAGCCAAAAGAGAGAACCATAACGACTTGACTTAATTCTTCCCATAGTACTGGGCATTAGTTAGATAAGACTTGTTTATATTTTATTTGTTTTTTTTTTTTTTCTTCCATAAGTTTTCCCCTGTGGAAAGTTATTCTTCCAAAAAATACAATGGTATATACTCTTCAAATCGTGTCCAACCTACCTATCTATATAACAACACTTATATTAAAATACATAATCGCAAATCTTATCAGCGAGCTCGACAAAATTATAATCGATTTTTAGTCTATTCTTTGGCACCAATATGACGAAAGCGAAACCAAATTGTACTTTTATGAAACAATATATACAAATTTATATGAAGAAAAAATAATAATATTACAAATTATCCAGATACATACATGTCGTATACCTAGAGAATATCATAGAAATTCATAGTCGTTTACACATGTAATCCTACCAGAAATGTATGTATTGTAACCTTACCGTAGTCGATCCCTCTATACGACCGTTCCACACAAAACTGAGAATCAATTTTGATGATACGACAAACACAAATAATATATATATGTGAATTATATTTTACAATATTTCTTTGAATTTCTTCAACAATTCAGATTATGCTGATTACGATTTGCAACAAATTTAGTTTGATTCATTTATAATGTGTTGTGTCAGTGCTACCCATATATACCCAATGTACTCGAATATAAAATGATATACATATGTATTTTAGACCTTTATCTTTTGTATAATACTTAAACCGTCCCGTTTACCACTCGAATCACTTTGAATTATTTTTAAGTTAATATCGTATATATGCAATAATTTGAACTCTATATTTGGCAGTTTTTGTAACCTCAGTTATATATAATTATTTTTACACTCTAATTTATAATTGTATATTCCTTGTATTGTGTTCTATGCTCTATTTACATATCATAACCAATTCAAAAGTAATAAACGCGTTTCTGTCAACCTCTGTTAATATTTGAACAACTTGATACAATTTTGGTTTGTTAATTTAAGGCTTTTAGCTTGTTCAACAATGACTATTTATCTGTTCTTATATCATTCATCCATATATTCACAGCATAATTTCTCAAGTCCTTATTTGCATTTCATTTTCGTTCTTCAAAGACGATAAATTGACAACACGCAATCAACAGAGAAACAATTAGACCGAGTTTTAGGTAAACGTATATTACAACAATACAAAGATAACACATGCATTAACATTCATTATATAAAGAAGACATTGAACAAATCGTAGGCAGGAACGTGCGGTGAAAAAGTGAAGCGAAAAATATAGAGAAACAAGAACAATTATTAACGAGTATGAAATTAACAATTATACCAAACAATTTTAATTAACTAAACTATATGTAAGTAAGGTTAAAGTATGCAACTATTATTAAAAACAAAAAACAAAACAAAACAAACAAACAAAACGAAGAAAATACAAATTTAACATATGTAACTAACGAAACAATTATATAACTTAGTATACTCAAATGTGAACATTTATGAAACGTTACAATTTTTTATTGAAAAAGAGACGCAAACGATTAGCTATAACAAAAACATAACACGAAACGTACATACATAACAAACAAAAATTAAACGTTTTCGTTCCTCCATAAAGCAGAAAGGAACAGAAAAGTCAAATTGAAATAATATATAATATGTTTTAACCATTAGAAGTTGTATGAATCGGAAACGGAGAACTTATCAAATTTATTGCTAGTGATCGATCGTATATAATTATTGAATATACTCAACTCACTTAGTCACATATTTATATGACATTTATATAAATTATGTATTTGCCAATATTCACAGTTAAATTAACCATATATTTGATACAGCGAAGGTGTCTGATGTCCCATCCATCAGTGCGATTTTGTTTTGTTTAAATGTAAATATTATGGCCAGAGATTTCCGTTCTCATCCACAAATGTAAATGCTCTAATGTAATCGATATTGATTTTAAATTTCCTTCTCAATCACTTACGTTATGCATACTGAAATGTTTATAAAAACTACAAATTAAGTTCGCATTCCATAATCAAAATTTATTCAAATATGTATGTAACAGCAAAATACATAAATACAGAATTTATAGGAAATTCACACATATTGTATTCAATGGAATCTCTATAAGATTTGGAAATATGGACATCTGAAATGGATTCTTCTTAGATGCTCCATTAAATGCTTAGATCTGCGGCAATAATATTATTTTGTTCAAAGTACTTTGAAAAGAAATCAACGAAACGGTTTATCTTGGGACGTTTCGAAGGATCCGCTTCCCAGCTGTCGACTATCAATTTTTTCAATTCTTCAGGATAAACCATTTTGATGTCCTCCAAATTCGGACGCATTCCTATAAAGTAATATAATGTTAAGTAATTCCAGTTGACACCAAGTCGTACCGTACCGTTTAGACATTCGCGCATTATATGTAAAGAGCTATCAATGTTTTCGTAGACCTGTTTGCGCGACATCATTTCCCATAAGATAATGCTACAGGTGTATACCTCCGATGGCTGTGCACTTTTCACTCCTTTGAAAGTCTGCAAATGAAATAACGCACATAAATATAAGCAACTGACAGCGGGTTAACTCCTCCACACGTCTAAGATCCCAGAACAGCGGAACTTATAGTCAAGTTGATCAGTTCACTTATATTTGATAATGCATTGTACTATATGTATTGTATATGTCTATCGTAGCTCTCTCTGGACGAGAGTCTACAGCACATACATATATACTGCAAATTATGCTCAAAATTTATATACTCGCTTGCACTTTATATAGATAATATGCACTTGCATATAGATCAGATACTAGCCTCTGGTGCTATATAAGGCACATTGGTACGTTGATTTGTGTTTGTGGTTGCCTCAGCGCGCACAGATCCGAAGTCAGAGATTTTCAAGACGCGACGGTGATCCATTAGCAACATATTTGACGGCTTCAAATCGCCATGCAGCAAAGGCGGTTGTCTCGAATGAAGATAAGCAACGGCCTGGTAAAATAAAAGAATTTATGCATAGAACTTTTACTACAAACGGAAATAGCAAATACCCTGAGCCCTGATAAGATATTTCAATCGTTCTACAATTTTTTTATGCATTTATGCACATCACACATACAACGTTCTGCTAACTGCGTTAGCGCTTGGGCATACATACATATGTTAACTTATTTATTGAAATCCCTACCTCACAGTAATCAAATCGTGCTTAAACATACTCTGATTTCCCATTTTCAATGGGTTGAGGGTATAAAAACGAAATCAAATTATCGATACATACATAAAAGGTAAGGAGGTTAACACGAATATATATGTACATACATATGTAAAATTTGAAATCTTTTGCTTTTGTACACTACGAGATCTCTGCATTCATACGGACGGACGTGCGGACAGAGAGGCATGACGAGATCAACTCAGCTTGTCATTCTGATCAAGAATATATATAATTTCAGCTACGTATGGACTGCCATGACTACTTCTGCCTGTAATATACATTTTCACACAACCATTATACCTGATTTCCCGTTTCCCATGGATCTAGGATATACAATAAGTCTATACGTATAAATATATGTATATCAATATACCGAAAAATACTGGAGTGCCCAGTTGACAACATGATTAAATGTATACTCAATCAACGGTGGGTTATGCAAGAAATCTTTCAGAGATCCGCCGTCAGCATACTCCATAATTGAATACAAGCTATCTCCATTGCTTGAATCACCAATCAAGGTGAGGATGTTTGGATGCCTCACGTCTCGCAAATTTCTCAGCGCTCTTTCAACATTTCTATTGTCACCGTATTGTTTGAATTGTTTAAGTGCTACGGTTTTATTATCATACTGTCCTTTTAAGACGATTCCATAGGTTCCGCTTGCAATTTCCTATAACGCAAAATTTCTATTATTTGGTCAAACTAACGACGTTACTTATAAGCACTTACTATAGAATTAGTTATTTTTGTAAAGTGAATTGAATCTATATAGTTATTAGCATCCATCTTCCGTTTTAGACGCGAGCTTGCCGTGTACTAATCGAATTTGATTTCTGTGAAAATAATTGTTGATTTCCTGTACAAATGGAAATTGTGGGTATATTGTTTTTATGTGAATGAATGTATTCTTTGTATGTATTCAGGATATCGAGTTGATTTGTCTTTCTGTCCATTCGCCTGTCGTCTATCCTTTTGTCCCCATCAATACATTGGTTCATAAGTCACACATCTCATTTATTTTATTTATTTTTTTTTTTTAAGATCAACTTGAAATCCATTAAAGCAAAAGTCTGCAATTTCATTGCACTTATACGAATTAAAAACCTGAAAAAATATACACATTTCTTTGTAATTCAAAATTTCATTAGAATAGTTCTATAACAAATTATAATATGTATAATATGCATATATAATATACATTGTATATGTAGCTCTGTTTTCCGCATGATTGCAAAAAAAATGCCCAGATTGATTGAGATAGTTACCTGTGAAGCCACAGGGCATCTGCTAGTCGGGCACTTTCGATTCGGACAATAAAATTGATAAGGATAATATGTACTATATACTTAATTACTCATGTTTATATATGTATAAAGAATGAATAACACTTTATAAACAAGTAAGAAGACTCCAGTCGAGACTGCTCGACTAGGAGATACCCTGAACCCTCTAAGCTGATATTCTAATCATTCTGCACTTTTTTTATGCACACATGCATACACACGAACGTACTCGAACGGGCTCTACTAACTGCGCAGTAAGCAGCGACTGGTATCCCAAAATCTGTAAATTACAAAATCTTTGTATCCATTAACTTTATATACAACGCAAATTTGAAGTCTACAGGTCTAAAAGTGCTCAAATTAGGCTGAAGAAACAATGCCGATTTTTCGATTATTCTCGATAAAAAGTTATCGGATGAGTTATCGAAAAAATAMGATAAACTTGTACTGCCTATGGTATACACGAGTATGCATGCCAAATTTCAGCTCTCTAGCTCTTGTATCTTCTGAGATCCTTTTGCTCATACGGACGGACGGACGGACAGACTATATCGACTCAGCTCGTCGTCCTGATCAAGAAAATGTATACTTTATGGGGTCTGCCACGGCTCCTTCTGCCTGTTACATATATTTCAGCAAAACCATTATACCCTGATTTTCCATTTTCAATGGGCAATAAATATGCTTGTATAGGTATAAAGAAAGAANGTTTACAACTTTAGGAGATACAGTTTTATTCGATTTGCCACGCCCCCATATGGGCGGAGATATATTCGTGGTCGGGTCGGGTGGTCGCGGATCTACATACCAAAATTCAACTTTACAACTTCAACTAACATTATTTCTGGTATATCGGAAAATGCATTTTCCGATTTGCCACGCCCCTACAGGGCGGATCGGGACAATATTAACACTTTATAATTCTGAGATAGATTGCGTTCATACGGACAGACGGACATTGCACAAAACCAATACCCTCATTTCACTTTCGTGAATGAGTATAAAAACATTGAAGAGGTTTCGAACGTCCGCTACTCTATATATACATAACTTGCGTCGCCTTTAGCACCCACGCCACTGCTCTACCTGGTCAGCCAATAGCTAAATTAGAATACCTTAATAACAGAGCGTAATCTGAGTCAGATTATCTGACAAAACTACAGTAACGGCTAGAAAATCCAGAAATAAATCGAAATCCTAAGAATATGCTAAAAACCGTGCTTCTGTCTGTACGCATAGAATACACGAGTGTACATGCACACACACACGCACACAAACAGCCATACGCACGCACGCATAAACACGCATTGGCTGCAGTGGTGGTTTACTATGAGAACTTAATTGTTTAATAACTTTTCTTGAGGGTGGACTATCTTCATGAAACAAATGAATATAACATAAATATGTGCCAAGCACAAGTCTCTAGTTATTGAAACACGCTTTTTGCATTAAAAATTTTGTGACATTAGCCTTAAAGATATAGCAGATATGAATTTATTACTGGTTTTCAATGTTTTTAATCGATAACAAAATACCGGAGCAAGTTATCGAAAAAAATTCTATATCTCTTATATCTTCTGAGATCGTCGCGTTCATACATACGGACAGACGGACGGACGGACAGAGCTGAATCGACTGCCATTTAACAAAACCTTTATAACCTGATTTCCAATTTTCATCGGGTTCAGGGTATACAAAAATATATGTATTATTATTTCGTTTAAATTAACTTTGCCTATTCAATTTACGCTGATGCGGCATTAAATTAATAAATCGTATTGCCAAATTTTTTTGTGTTCATAAATGATTGGAGCCAGAGTTTCCGAAAAAGTTCAGCAGCTTCCAATAACTATAATACTCTTATTTTCCAATTTTAATTGGGTTAAGGGAATGAAAATACTGAACGAACATCAAGCAGAAAAAAAGAATGATACCTTCCAATATATCCGGCTTGAGCCATCATTCCGTTTCTATCATCCATTACTCTTTGCGGCTGATTGTTTACAACTTTTCCATCATCATTGCCTTTCCATGTACCGTCATCCTCTTTAAATGATTGGCTTCTGAAAAATGTAAATTTTCGATTTAATGGTTGGTCTTACGACTACAAATCAAATAATGTTTTATAAGCAAAACTAATGTGTGTGCTTTGGGAAATTTTTGTATATCTCGGTAGAATGGTTTTGTGAAAAGTATGTAACAGGCAGAAGGAGGCGTGGCAGACCCCACAAAGTATATATATTTTTGATATATCTTTAATTATATCTCCAACACCTTTCGAGCTAGAGCTTGCAAATTTTAAATGTAGACTTATATGTATTTTATATAATTTCGATTTTTGTTGTAATTTACCCCCACCCTTATATCCACCCCCTCACCCACATATTTGTAAAAGGCGTATTTTAAGTACTAGAAACTTGTGCTTTAGAATGTACATACATTTTCCCCATATGATTACGCTGAAAGTTCCATTAAGATTGTACGTCTAGAAATTAAATTATTCAACAAATAAATTCTTATAATGTTGCCCACACTGCAGCGCAGCCCTTGCGCAGTCGCTGCTTACTGCGCAGTTAGCAGAGTGCGCACTAATACGTGCGTGTGTATGTGTGTGTACCGAAAAGAAGTGCAGAGTGATTAGAATATCAGATTAGAGGGTTCAGGGTATCTCCTAGTCGAGCAGTTTCGTCTTGAGTGTTTTTACTTGTTTTCATTAGACATTATGGAATTATGACATTAGCTTAGGAGATACAGTTTTATCCGATTTTCCACGCCCCCAATGGGCGTAGATATATCCGGCAAAGCAAGTGTTCTTGTGTGGTCGATGTGGATAAAGTGCATATAAATACACATTCAAAATTTGGAGACTGTAGCTCCAAAGATGTAGGAGATATAATTTTATAACTGATTTTCGATAAGGTTTTTTTTTATCAATAAACAAAGATCGGGATGAGTTATCGATTTTCAATGACATTTTTAAAAAAATTGAAGCCTCTAGCTCTTATATCTTCTGAGATCGACGCGCTCATACATACGGACGGACAGACAGACGGACAGGGCCAAATCGACTCAGCATTTTTCGCGTCTTTCTGCTAAAACAAGAAACACGCACACATACACTCTCATAATCTTTTATTATACTCATTCACGAAAGTGAATCAGTATATTGGTTTTGTGCAATGTTCGTCTTGCTGTCCGTCTGTNCAGGTCTAAAAGTGCTCAAATTAGGCTGAAGAAACAATGCCGATTTTTCGATTATTCTCGATAAAAAGTTATCGGATGAGTTATCGAAAAAATACGATAAACTTGTACTGCCTATGGTATACACGAGTATGCATGCCAAATTTCAGCTCTCTAGCTCTTGTATCTTCTGAGATCCTTTTGCTCATACGGACGGACGGACGGACAGACTATATCGACTCAGCTCGTCGTCCTGATCAAGAAAATGTATACTTTATGGGGTCTGCCACGGCTCCTTCTGCCTGTTACATACATTTCAACAAAACCATTATACCCTGATTTTCCATTTTCAATGGGCAATAAATATGCTTGTATAGGTATAAAGAAAGAAGATTTACTTGTTCAATTGTTCAGTTCAATGTAAGTAAATAGCAAAAGAAAACAAAGTTGTATGATAACTCAAACTAACTACTTAATGTAGAATATAAAATTCAACGAAGAGTGTTTCCAGCTCAGCTCGCCGTCGTCCTGATCAAGAATATATTTAACTGTAAGGGTGAGCAACGTGTGAACTGCCAGGCTGCCTTCTGCCTTTTACATATATTATCCATTATATACCGATTTTTCATTTTCTATGGGTTCAGGGTATAGCAAAATTAATATTTGTTGACATAATTTATACATACTATATAGTAAATACACATAGAGAGAATGTATTAAAAAATTAAGTTTTTTATTGCATAGAAATGGCATGAGACGACTACATCGTCTGTCATGTTGCCTACATTAGTTATTATTTAAATTTAATTTATTAAAATATTGTTATTGGAGCATTTATTTAGTATATATCTACATGTGGACACCTACAACTACATTGCATTCACAGCACAGCGCCACATCTTTAGTCTTTCTTGGCTATCAGGCCCTGCTTTTTCAGCTGTCGGAGAGCACATTTGGCAGCCGTACATTTGGCTATACGGTAGTTGCGTCCGATGCCGCGGAACGTGCCCTTGCAAAAGACATCAACAGTGACGCGAACGCGACGTCCATCCGCCAGTTTCTCTGGCTTGCCAAATTTGGCCGTTTCCGGCTCCAGCTCGAGCAGCTCTCGTATGGGTGACTTTGGCACAGAATTGCTAAACTGCTCGATCTCTGGCTTCATCATATTGCTGAATACCTGCCACACCACATCCAGGGACATATTTGAGTCGAGAAAGATGGCACCGGCGATTGATTCGAATACATCGCCCAATGCCTTAGGCACCTCGACATCCTCGGCATCATCGCACTCCTCCTCAGACAGCAGATAATACTAATAATAATAAAGATGATGTAAAGATGTGA